CAGAGTTTCTCCACTGTGGATCTGAAGGTTCCTAGAGAGGACTTGCTTTGTTAGTCTCTGTCTTCTCCCTGCTGTAGTGCACAGTATTGTTCATCCATCCATCCAATCCATCTCTCTCTCTTCCTCCTTCTCGCTAGAGATGGCCCAAACCTCCCCTTGTCTCCTACGGAACAAATCCACCATCACCCAGATCCTCTGATCCTGCTCCAAGCCTGCTGGTCAAGGCATTTGTTTCCAAACAGTGTCAATCCCTTCCTTAGAGGAAGAACTTCTGTTGCCAGTTGTTACTAGATACAATTTTGTTGTGCTACAGTTACTTCTGTGCTAGCTGCTTTTTAAATGGTGAAAAATAACACACTTACAGAAAGCTGCATACACACTCCTTTCTTAACCTTCTATTTCTGCTTTCTTTCAATTTAGTGGGGAAAACAGTTGGTTTTCATTAACAAGCTATTAAATAAAAATATGAGTCATGTCATTTAGTAAAATGGCCATCGTCCATGGACCACACTTAAACTAGAAAACTTGATGTCCATGCAATCTGTTGTTTGCTAATGGGATACAGTGGCCTGTCTACTTCTTATGCTTTTTTTTTTTTAAAGATTTTATTTATATATTTGAGAATTGGAGCTACACACAGAGAGAAAGAGAGGCAGAGAGAGAGGTCTTCCATCCTCTGGTTCCCTCCCCAAATGCCTGCAATGGCCAGACCAAGATCAGGCCGAAGCCAGGGGCCAGGAGCTTCTTCCAGTTCTCCCATGTGGATGCTGGGGCCCAAGCACTTGGGCCATCCTCCACTGCTTTCCCAGGCCATAAACAGAGAGCTGGATCAGAAAAGGAGCAGCTGGGATGCGAATCAGGGCCCACATGGGATGCCAGCATAACAGGTAGAGGCTTAGCCTAGTACGCTGGCCCCAATTTCTTATTCTTGATTGTTAGGAAACTAAATAGGCAAATGCTCTTGTATACAGTGAGCATATTCCAGTGCTAGGTTTTCCTCAATGCAAAATTCATTTTATATTATTTAATTGGAAGTGGGAAGTGTAGAGGATGTGTGATAGTATTTTGATTAAATGGGAACAGCTAGATAAGAAGAATAAAATGGATAGTTTTAGGCAGGCTCTTGGGTCATCAGGGTCTGTCTCTTCAGATTGTGGATTAAACTACTTTGGGCTTCTTGCTCTCTGCCTTTCATCCTTTGACAGATAATATTAAGAAGCAATAGAATCAGCCAAATGTGTAGTCTATCAGATGGAATTTGTTCTTTATGAATCATTTTCGCATAAGATTTGCTGGAAGAAAAGGTTAAACTCATTACCAAACGGTGGTCTCTAGATCCTGTGAGAGAGAGAGCCCACCAGAGCAGTCTCTGTCTCTGTCAACATTGATCTCTAGTGCCTGGCACAATACCTGCCACATTTAAAGGCTTTCTCTCAAAGGAAGACAAACAGTACTGAAAGAAAGTGATTTTGAATTGCAAATGGTTTGCAAAGAGCAGGGAGCACACTTGTTATCTTTTGATGATCAGTCTAAATATAACCATCCTTACTAGATTTTCCTCATTGATTAATTTTGACTTTAAAACCTTGTCAGTGTGTCAAATATCTAAAATAGAAAGAAAAAAAACCTTTCAGACGTCTATTCAAGATAATAAAACAATGGTCCAGAAATGAAATCACCCACTGCCTGTCGCTCCCCCTCTTCGTGGAGGAACGACACAGGACCCTGCACAGGACCCCCTCCGTGGAGGGGCGGGCCCCCCTGCCACTTTCCCCACTTCCACGGGGGAGTGGCACACCGCTGGTTGGCTCTCTCAGGGGCTGCTCAGGTGTTCCTTCAGGTGTTCCTTCAGATGTTCCTCAGGTGTTCCTGGTGCATGTTGTCTCTCTCCTCCTTTATACTCCTCTTCCACCAATCCCAACTCTGCTACCCACACGCCAAGCACGCTGCTCTCCTCCAATCAGGAGCAGCTCCTGCAGCTTGTCAAGTTGGTGAGAGGCAGCTGTGTAGAAGCTGTTTACTCCTCTCCCAGCACCATATTGTGGGAGAGCAGATGCATAGAATAAGTCTTAATTCCAGTAACTTAGTCTAGTCTGAGTTGCTCCCCACAACTGCCTATGATACCAGCAATGACAATATGGAAACAAAGTATCAGCATAATGTTGGAAATGGGATTTTACATGGATAACCCTGCCTCTCCCTTTTCCCTCTGCTGTAGAAGTTAAATTCCGCTTATTCTTCTAGGCATGATACAGATTCTATTCCCTTCAATAAAGGTTACATACATCACCACCATCCACCAGTACCTCTTCCTCTTCTTGGCATCTTGAATATATAATATCTGTTCCATTCATTTGGATTTGTCAAAAACACAGATAACAACAAATAACTAGAATTCTGTTGGCCTTTTTGTGTACATGTTTCTTGACTCTGTGAAGAAAGTAAAGGTTCTTCCTGGAAGTATAACTGGCTGTCCTTTTTGCATCTCTCATTGGCATAGTGTGGGGTTTCACATAGAAAAAACTTATAGATTCACTTGACAACACATTTTCCCAAAGGGAGGCAGCAACTAGCTGTACCATATGCTACTAACAGGAAGCACAACCCCAAACCAGACACTGCTGGGCCTCAGTACAGTCTCCTCACATTTCAAGAAAAAGTTGTCTAATCATTAATGTGGTGTCTCAAAGGTTTTCCCTTAAGGAGGTTTAGGAAAGGAATTGACACAACACAGGAGTCAACAATTGCAAAAACTTGTGTTTAAAATAAACTAGGTAATTAGATCATTTTGCTAACAAGATGAATGATTTTGATGAAATGTTTTGTTCATCCAAGTAAATGCATAGGGACCTCTGCTCATTTTCCCATTTCTAATGGGAATTAGGGATTAAGAAATTTGAACTTTGCTTCTAACTCAACCACAGACTTGCTGTAGGGATGCTGAAATAAAAGGGTTGAAAACACTCTTCAGTAGACAATGGCACACACTCACAGCTCTAATCAGACCTCTTATAGGAATTTAATACAGGATTTTCAAAGGTTACCTTATAAACTAATGACAAAGAACGGAGTACTTTAAATAATTAAAAGTTGATAACTTGCAGAAAATACCTAGTTCAATATTATCATCTCACACTATATACTTAAAATATAGGCTATATGATTTAAAGAGTAATTATTTTATTTTTAACACTTATTTCTATTTGTTTGAAAGGCAGAGAGAGAGAGAGAGAGAGCGCACTTCTGTATGATGGTTCACTCCCCAAATGGCTACAGTGACCTGGGCTGGGCTAGGCTGAAGCCAGGAGCCTGGAGCTCCATCTGGGTCTTCCACCTGAGTGGCAGGAGCCCAAGTACTTGGGCTGTCTTCTACTGCTTTCCCAGGTTTGTTAGCTGGATCAGAAGCGGAAAAGCCAGGACTTGAGCTGGTGCTCTTTATGGGATGCCAGCGTTGCAGGTGGTGGCTTAATCCACTGCATCATGACACTGGCCCCTGAGAGTAATTATTTTAATTTTAAGAAAGCTTAAAAAAAAGAAACAAGAAAATGCAGCCGAATATTTAATTGATCTTCCAACTGGGAAAATATTTATAAGGACACAATGGAAGAAATAATAAAGGAAATACTGATTAAATTTTGAAAGTCTAGGACAATAGATAAAACTATAAAAGCAGTCAGTATTTATTTAACAGAAATGTACCCAGGCATTATTCTGGGTGCTCAGGCACCCAGAAAACAGGAGTTTCCTGTGTCTTGCTACCAAGGAGCTTACATTTTAGTGGATAAAGACTGGAAATGAAAGAAATACATCATATGGGGAAAGCAAAAAGTGCATTGGGAAAAAGAAAGGTAGAACAAAGAAAGGGGTTTAAGACTACTGACAGCTGAGAATACTGGGAAGTCAAAGTATTAAGTAGGGTGTCAAGGTGGACTTTAATACAAGTATGAAATTTGAATCAAGACTTGCCAGAGGAGTGAGATATTTCAGAGAAGCCTGAGAGTATTCCAGGAGAGAACCATCCACTGCTATAGCAAAGGCAAATGAAAAACGGAAAAACATTGGCAGTTCACAAGATGGGCAAAGAGGCAATATCCTAAATAGGGAATAAAAGAGTCTTGAAAATCAGTTTTTTAAAAATCCAGTATTCTATGGAGAATGGGCCCACAACATGAACAGACGACCCCTAGAGAAAAGCCAACAGAAAGTGAAAGAAGTCAAATTGTACAATTAATGAGGCAAGTATCCTATCAGGATATCCAATTTATAAGATTAGGTGATGTTGGTGAGATGGTGGTGAGACAGACATTTTCCAAATTGTTAAGGAAACAGTGAAACGACACATCCTTTTGTAAAACAAATAATTTGGCTAAATTTCCCCATAGGTTTTATTTTTAAAATATTCCTTTTGGAATCAGAAACTAAGACAAATTTTGTGGAAAATGTAATCAAATGATAAGTTTATTTTGGTTCAAAGAATTTATTTTTGCATGTGAAGGCTTTTTTTTTAAATCATAAAAAGGTATTTTAGGAAACAAGTATGCACAGATTTCAAATTATTTTTCCATCAAAATAAACTTATCTTTTAAATTTATTTATTTATTTAATTGAAAAACAGAGAGACATACAGAGAGAAACAGAGACAGACTTAGAGAAAGATCTCCATTGCTGGTTCAGTCCCCAAAGGCCTGCAACACCCAGGGATGGGCCAGGCTGAAGCCGGGGGCCAGGAGCTCCATTCGGGTCTCTCGGGAACCAGTCACTTGAACTTCCCCTCTGGACTCCCAGGGTGCACATAAGAAAGAAGCTGGAGTGAGGAGCAGAGCTGGGACTGGAACTGAGGCACTTTGATATGAGATGCGGACCTCCATGCAATATTGTAACCACTATGCAAAACACCGGCTCCAACAAACTTATCCTTTAATTCCATTTTTCTGCAAACATCTGAAGTACCCTTGTATTTCCTGCATGATTATCTATAATAACACATAAACAATTAATACCTGAATATTGTCGAAGGTGAAATCTCCAGCTCAGGACATGTCTTTGAACACATGGTTCCGCTACAAGCCTGCTCCATAAATACCCCAAACTCCGTGGATCCAAACCCAAACTCACTTTCTGTAGCCCCTACTGCAGCCCTCAAATCTTCTCCTCTTGTCTCGTTCAGCAAACAGCACCAACATACACCAATTGCTTAAGACACAAACCTATGAGTCATCTTTAATAGCTTCTCTCTCATTTCCTGCCTTCTATTGGCCCTGGTGTTTTGCCAGTTCTGCTTTTGTAACATCTTGGATGCATCTCATTGAATCCATTCACACTGGAACTACCTTACTTCAACCCTCAGCATTTTGCACCTAGACTAATGAGTAGCTCATTACCTGGCTCACTGTGGCCAATCTTACCTCCAAGCCATCTGTTACATTCTTGCCATAGGATTTGTTCTATAATACAAAACTGGATCCAATCATTACTTCCTTCAAATGTTTTAAAGAGCTCCCCACTGCCGTCAGATTAAAATCAAAATACCTTGGAAACTTTCCTGATGTAGCCCCTGATGGTCAGCTCTTTTGTCCTGCCAACCTGAATTCCTTATCCACCCACAGTAGTCTTACTATGGATTACATATCATGTCTCTGTGTTTTGCACATGCTACTTCCTCTGCCTGCCTCCTGCCACGTTCACTGGTCCCTTAGTAACTTCTCTTCAGCTTTCCGGATTCTACAGAGGAATCCCATCCTTTAAGCTTCGTCTGATTCTCTAACCCTGATTCATGGGTTTGGAGGTCCTGTTTATTTCTGAAAGAACATTGTGCATGTTAATAGCAGTATGTCTTACAGTGTTGGCAAACATTGGCTTGCTTCTTCGGCTCCCGGGATTACTGCATTTGGCTGCACTGCAGTGTTAAAGTGGGTGCCATACACACAGTGTCCAACTTGCATAATTATACTGGGCCATTCTACTTCCTTTGTACTGGGGAGAAACCATTTTTAGGTCTCTTTGTGGAATGCTTGGCCCAGCTCAAGTGCTGCAATATACAGGTACAGGGGGCCTTCAAGAAGTTCATGGAAAATCCATATTTTGGAAAATGATAAATGGATTTCAAAAAATTTGTACAAAAATAAGCTTACCTTTGAACTACCTGCACTGTTTGAAGCACTCCTGCCTTTACACAGTAAGCATTTGTTTAAAGAATGAAACTGAGCAGTCCATCAACTCCAGTTTCCTAGAAAAATTCTCTGAGGCCAGTGTTTCTCAAAGCGTGGTCCCTGGGCCAGCAGCTTGAGCATTACTGGGGAACTGGTTAAAATACAGATGCTTGGGCCCCGCCCAGATCCACTGAGTATGAAACTCCAGGGGTGGGACACAGTAACCTCTTTCAACAAGCCCTCAAGGTGATTCCGTTGCATGCTTAACACTAGCTCCAGCTGCTTAGAACCAAAAGTAAATATTTCATTCAATTACTTTTCTGGTAAGGGAACATTTGCTTAATTTTGAAAACAATTTTAAATTTTGACACATTTTCCAAAAAGTATATAAAGTGTTATTAGCACCCACCATTCAGATTTACTGTACTGTCTTCATTTTCCCATGAGACATAAAGCAACACATCACCAATGGCCTATCTCCTTCCTCTCGCCCTTTTCTCACCCATGCTAACCTCTAATCTACAGTTGGTGTGTGTTTTGCTCATGTGTATCTTTATATTTTTGCTATGCAAATATATAGGCATTTTCTGGTTTTCTAATTTAAAAATTTTATTTATTCTTTACTTGAAAAGGAGAGAGAGAGCGAGAGAGCAAGAGAGCACTTCCATTTGCTGGTTCACTTCCCAAATGCCTGCAACCATTAGGATGGGGCCAGGCTGATGCTGGAAGCCAGAAACTCAATCTGGGTAACCCACATGGGTGGCAGGGACCAAGTACTTGAGCCATCAATGGTTGCTTCCCAGTGTGTGCATTGGCAGGAAGCTGGAATCAGGAGCGGAGACAGGACTTGAACTCAGCCACTTTGATATGGGATGTGGGTATCTCAAGCTGTGGCTTAAACACTGCACCAAATTCGTGCCTCTAGTTTCTTATGAAGGTTTCTTAGTTATCTTTACAATTCCTCTTCCTCCCATTCCCTTTAAATGCCTATAACATAGCCCCCCTTTTTAGCTTCCCTTTCTTTATCCAAGTGATTTTTAGTGATGCTCAAGTTTGAAAAATCACTGCTACTGGTGTTAGGGAGCCCTAGGTAAGTTCTATGTTGTGCTTTTTGTTGTATGTCTGCCTATACTTATTTAGTATTATTTATGTATTGCTGATACACTGCTCCAGTAAATCCTAAGTCAATTTTCTGTATAGAAAAACATAATGTAGTTTTTTGTTTATCCAGATGGTTTTTCCTAGAAATGCAAACGTCTATGCCTTTCTGAAGTTGCCATGTACACATTGTGCATAGGTACATGAATACACACAAACACATGAAATGTGTTCACCTTTATACACACAACCACACACATGTGTGTGCACATATGTGTATGTGTGTGTGTGTCTGAATTATGTGGCTAATTAATAATTGGTCACTTCATCCTTCCCAAATTCTATCACATATATCTATTATCTTCTGTCCTTTGATATCACCTCACTAATATAAAACTTTGTTCACCACAAACTGGCACCCTCACAGCTACCTTTTACTGCTTCCTGTTTTATCCATTGCACGCTTGGCTGCAGGGTGAGCCCCTAAAAGCACTGTCCTGATCATTTCCCTCCGTAACTCAAGAGCCTCCAGTGATCACGTACTTGTGACCAGGTCTGCTAGGTGCCTCCAGAATATTCCTTCACAACCAAATCCCACTTTCATTTTGGTGGCAAGGCACCAAGTGAAACTGTCCAGCTTTCTTTGCAACTAGGTGTTGCTAGATGAGGTTGTAGGTAGACGGTTTTGACTGGGAATGCTGGTAAGGTCCCTTAAAAAGGAAAAAGCGTATCTGGCAGTGGGTGCCTTTTAACATCCCTTCCCCCGTCTTTCCTGTTGTCTTAAATTTATATGTGAGAGCTAGAGCTGCAGCAGCTGCCATGAACCAGGAGGAAATCTTGAAAATAAAGTCATATACTAAGAATAACAACTCAGAAAGAAAGACGTTCCCTATATCCCTGATGATCAAAGAGCCATGCCCACCTGCTCTCGAGAGAAAAATAAACTTTGGATGTTTAAGTCACTTCTGTCATTGTTACTATGGGCAGGTCCCAAATAGTAATTTAATTTCTTCACAAATTTGGCTGTTTCTCCAGTTAAGCCAATGTTTTGTGCCATGTTTGTTTGGACCGATTGGCTCTCTCCTGTGAACTGGGGCTTGCAGATAGCAAGATCTGAGCTAAGGCTGAGCCCTTCAGCTCAGCTTTGGTAACTCCTCAGGCTCTGCTTCCAACTCTGTCAGCCTCAGTTTCCTTGTCTGAAAACTGAGCATGAAAAATACTACACACACGATACTACGTGTTACCTTTCTTTCAGCCTGCTTTTTGGTTGCTACTAGCCCAATAGCATGAATAGAGAAAAGAGCTGACGTAATGAAAGGAGACAAAACTCAAACCAGGATATTTTCTCCTTGGTTAACAACCTTACAGGCAGCTTGTTTGTTGGATACATTCATTTTGCTGCTTAAAAAAAAAAAAGAAGTCCATGAGGAAAAATGTCACCAAAGTACACTTCAGTTATTAACATTTACCCTTTTTCCATTCTCATGAGTAACTGAAATCTGACTATACATGTGTTGCACTACCCACACAACAGAGAGAGAGAGAGAGAGAGAGAGAGGAGTATGTGTATGGAGAGAGAAAGAGAGAGAGAAAGAAAACAAACTCAAGAACATTGGCTCCAAGAGGACCACTTGCCCAAAGTCACAGGCACAGACAAGACATACAATTTCTGCCTTGGTATTTTCCATCTGGCTAAATTGACTCTTCATGCCTTGAAACAAGCCCTTTCAAATGGAATTGCAAAAAAGCAAATTCTGCTCAAACTCATACATTATGTAATTTCATTTCTGCTCTGATGCACATTAAACCAAACTGGATGGAGAAAAATCTTTTGCTAAATTAAATTTGGTTTGATTAGGAAATTTGCGTCATGTGCAGGCAAAGCACGATGTGTGTGGGTTAAAAAATGTCCTGGTTATTTAAAATGTTTTTTTTAAACAGATGATTCAGTTTTACCATAGCTTCATTAGTGAACTAAATTTGTGTTCACGTGGAGCCCTGTTGTGCGTATAATGGGTTTTGGTCCTTCGTTGGGAAATCACTCAAGTAGCAGACAGTGGGTCCTTCCTGGAGGAAGGTAATACAGTTTGAAAGGCTGGAGCCCTTGGGTCCCTCGAGATCCTTCCTGCTCTGGCTGCACAAGACCTTTCCTTGCCATTTCCCACACTGCCATCATTTCCTTCTCAAGAACAGTGTCCTTGCTCTTTCCAGCCCCAGTTTTCTCAACAGGCTTCCAAAGGCAGAGCTCACCCCCAGGTCTCATCTGTCCTGGTCCCCGTCCTGAGCTGTATTTCAACCCAAATAAGAGGCTTCCGTGTACCGCCTGGCTTCCGAAACACACACATAGGAAAATTTAAATAGGGTTGCTTCAAAGTATTTCAAGGAAAAAAAAAGTGCTTTGTAGAGGGTCAAAATGCCTTATGGGAGGGATACAGGCCCAAGGTTGCCATTTGGTAATTCTTGACACCTGCTAAAAGCAAAAAGTCCCTTGTTCTCCAAGTGTCATCGGAGGGCTGTCTTTCAACCTCAATCACAGGTTCTACCATACAAAGGTAGTTGAGGAGGAACCGTGCATTTTCCAGGCCATTGTAAAAATTATTCAGATAAGTAGGAGAAAAGCTTAAAAAGTTATGAAGAATCTGCCAAGTATTAATAGTATACATTGAAGTAAAGCATAAAGAAAGTAAGGTTTAGATCTGTGAAACACAAAGTACTGAACAATACACAACACCAACTTAAATAGCATTTTGGGTCCCTTCAGGAAGGGTTCTCCCCAAAGCAACCTGATTCTCTAGATAACGACCAACACCACACCAGACAAAGAGTTGACAGTGACCACTTAGAGCCCAGTACTGCCATGGGGCTCCCAGCTTGTTTTGAATTTTCCTCTGTTTCAAAAATATTGCTGATTGGGTCAAAATTCTCAAAATGGGCACAGGAGAGAACTTTCTTTTGGTGGGTTGTTGAAGTCAGGGTTTCCCATAATGCTTGGTCTGAGACTGAGTCGATGAGGTTCTGTTGCACAGGCCTGGATGTGCTAGGTCTGGGCCAGGGTCTGTCTGCACAGCTTAGCATGTGAAAGCCCAGGGTGCTTCCTGGAGCAGTATCATGCATGCTATCTTGTCGCTCAAGAAAAAGAACAGACACCAGCGTGATATCTAGTGAATTGGCTGCACGTTTTCACTTGTGGACCTCTCTATGTACATAGAATCTGATCAAAAGCCCAGTAGAGACTTGGATGGAATTCTTGGACCCTGGCTTTAGTCTAACCCAGACCCATTAGTTGTGGCCATTTGGGAAGTGAAGTAGCAAATAAAATCTCTCTCTCTGTCATTTTGCTTTTCAAATAGATAAATATTTATTTAAAAAACAGGGGGGGTGTTGGCACTGTGGCATAGCAGGTTATGCCTCCAGCTATAGCATTAGCATCCTACATGGGTGCTGGCTGGAGTCCCAGCTGTTCCACTTCTCATCCAGCTCCCTGCTAGTGGGCCTGGGAAAGCTTTGGGAGATGGCCCAAGTGCTCGGGCCCCTGCATCCATGTGGGAGATGCAGGGGGAGATCCTGGCTCTGGCTTCTGCCTGGCTCAGCCCCAGCCATTGGGGTCGTTCAGGAGGTGAACTAGCCAGTGTGTGTGTGTGTGTGTGTGTGTGTACATGTGTGTATCTTTCTTTTTAACTCTACCTTTCAAATAAATAAATAAATCTTTAAAAAAAGAAAAAATAATAAAAATAAAGGAAGAGGCCCAACAGCCAATCAGTGAAAAGTCATGGTCAATCCACATCTTGGGTAGGTGACTTAGATTACTTTTTCCAAAGTGGCTTCTAAGGGGTTTCTCGGGGTCTGTAATGCTCAGAGGACCCGCACTTGGAAATGGATGGCTCTCTTGGGCTCCTGGCACTCTACCTGGCCCCAAGTGCGAAGGGCAATGATTCTGGCCTCCGGGGTCAGTGGAATCAAGTATTGTACTAGAGACTATGACCCAGGACTCCCAGGTGTCATACCTCCCTCGGGACTCCAAAGTAGTTCCATTGTCTGGAGTTCTCTGAGAATTTCTCCCCCTGATTTTGTGGGTCATTGAACAAAGAAAGTATTGGAAAAATCACATGGTCTCCAGCTTTCAGAAACTTCTCACAATGGTCTTAGACTCCATAAACAGCCCACATTGCTCTAAAGATGTTGACCGAGTTCAAATATTGGGCTACAGTATTTTCACTCACCAAATGCCTGATTTGTTTTTTGCTTTATTTCCCCCCTCTCTTTTTTTAACAGAAGGGTAATTTACAGAGAGTGAAATGCACAGAGGAGTTTTGACAAATGCCATGTAGTCCATACTTCTGTAAAGATAGACATCAGTTCAATCACTCCATCAAGCCCCCTCATACCTCTTGCCAGGCAATCTTCTCTTCTCCCTGGGGCAGTCACTGCTTGATTCCTATCACCACAGATTCCTACTGTCTTTTCCAGAGCTACATAAAAACCAACTGATGCAACGTGTGTGCACCCTTTTCTGTCTACTGCTTCATGTACTGAGCATCTGTTGCAATCTCCCCTTAATTTCTGGTATCAGTAAGTTGAGGAGACAGCCCTGGAAGGCTGCTGCAGGTGTACAGGGGTGTCCAAGTTCTCCTGGTGTGGCAGGAGACCCTCAGAGGCCTCTCATATTGGGTGGGATGAGGAAGAGGGGGAGAGTGGAGCTCCAAGTCACCCTTTTCATCTTCAAACATGACATCTGTCTTTCCCCATTTTTTTACAAAGTGGGGGTCTGGTGGAAGATTTCATCAGAGAAAAGAAGGGGGTATTTGCCAAAAAAAAAAAAAAAAAAAAAATCCAAGTTGGAGAACCATTGGTTTCAAAGATTCCTAGTTCCCTTGTCTTTGAAAGTTCTATAAATGACAGCGTTTTTTGATATGAGAGCTGTGACGGGACCCCCTCCAGGGAGGGCTGCAGACAGAGGCAGCCAGACTGGGGGCCCCGAGGGAGGGCCTGAGCACCGACAGCTGTAATATTAGTACCAGTCACAATCAGATAGCACCGGCCCAACCGAGGCGCCCAGACAATAGGCCAGAGGCCACGGGCAAGGGGAGGCACAATGACCGCATTCAAACGACCGGACTCTGCAGCCAGCGAGCATTTCTGCAGAGTCCACCAGAGCCTGGCCAAGCCTGGACGTCGCCTTCCGCCAGAGAGCCGCTTTCTCCACGGTGAGCTTTTAAACCAGCAAAAAAAACAAACACGGAAAGGAAAGCGCTGACACCGCCTCCAATGCAGAGACAAACCGAAACTGTGTTGTTGTTATAATGTAAACAGACTCGGTTCCAAATTATAACCCCGCTTTCCAAACAGGCTGCCCGGGAGCCCAGCCCTGGGACCAGGGGGAGCCTCCCCAAGTCTCCCAGGGGGAGGACGCGGCCCTGCGCTGCACAGGTGTGTGCCATCTCCGACTTGCTCCCACCACGGGGTGAGCTCACGCGTTTGCTTGCCTTAGCACTCAAGGAAACACCCATGGGAGAGACTGGTGACTCCCCCTGGCTGGGTTTTCCCCTGTGACCAGTGGAAAATCGGCCTCTTTTCCCCACTACCCTGAGATCACTTTTTTTTTCTTCCCCCAGTAAGTCTGTAGCATGCCTTTTCTCTGTTACATCTTTTTTAGCCCGTTTAAAATTTTCTATTTTTCCCAAATACGTTCACAGTTTAAAAATGATGTTAAAGGACAACAGCAGCAATGGCACAAATGAGAAAATACTTCCTGTAAGGTTAAAACAGCAACAAGTAATAGCAAAAATCAGAAGTTTGCAAAAGTTGTCAAGCCTGACATCTAACCTTCTTATTCATTCAATCATGGGTGCGGCGCCGCCCATGCAGGCCAGCCAATGGGAGGGAAACCGCCAATCTGGAAGAAAGGAAACACAAGAAGAGAAATATTAGTTTTCTTGCTTAAATTCGTTAATCGACACCTACTCTTCTTTCTGTTTAAATAGGGTCTCCTTTCAGAGCCGATTTAGTCTCTGATTTTGAATAAATGCCGATTGAGTTAGATAAAAATCTCATTCTGGAGGGGAGATGGTCCCAGGGAGAGGGACTTGAACAGGAAAATTGTAACAGCACATTCCAGGCACCGGGCAGCTCCCATGGAGCCCACAGACCTACTTTACTGTGGCTTTTCAGGAATAGGATCCAAGAGTTCTGGACTCCCAGGCTTACTAAAAGGCACACATGAATCTCAGATGGGTGAGGTCTTTGTGCTACACACAATCCAGCTTCCCATCAGCAGATGGTTCCTGGGACAGGTCTTCACCTATGGAAGCCCTGGCTGTCCCTCATCCGGGCATTGGCAGCTGCTTACAGATCTGCACCAGAGCACGAACTACAGAGGCCCTAGACTGCGACGGGTGCACGCAAGCTGGGAACACGTCCCCCAGATACAAGCAAGAGAGAAGGGCCCTGCCACCAGTGAGTAGCATCTGCTCCACCACAGAGGGCACATCTGAATTTGTCCTTGAGGCTGGGAGGACCTACTTTCTGGGGCCCTGTGGTCCTACAATGTGTGTTGTCATCCTGCAGCTCAGAAGCAGAGAAAAACAACCGAGTTGAGTGCAACCAACGCCAGGGTTTCCACTACCCAGGGTGGACCATTGTTAACACATTGTCATTTCTGCTGTGCTGTTTTTCAAATTAAATATGTAAAGACCTATCCCAGGAACCATTTTTAATTACATTAAAAATTTTAAAAGAGCATAGGTATAACAGTTCACCCCAAGCCCAGATCATGGATTTGTTTCTATTTTTCCAGGCCACTTTGTTTATTTATTTGTTTTTACATTCACATACATATCTGTATCCAAGGCAATGAACAGTGTTTGTGTGTTGCTAATGAACCTAAGCGGTATGAATCTCTGCAAATGTACCTTTCATTCTCCACTAAAAAATTCTGTTCATCTTTATTTGAAAGGCAGAGAGAAAGAGAAAGAGAGAGAGAGAGAGAATCTTCCATCTGTAGCTACTCCTCAAATGCCCTCAACAGCTGGAGTTTGGGCGCTGAAGCAAGGAGCCCAGAACTCCATCTAGGTCTCCCATGTGGGTGGTAGGGAACCAAGTACTTGATCTACTACTACCTGCTGCCTCTCACAGTGTACATTAGTTGGAAGCTGGAATTGGGAGTGGAGCTGGCCCTCCAATGCAGGCCCTCCAGTTTGGGATGTAGCCCACCCTTCATTCTGTACTTCTGACTTAATATGAGAGCTCTAACTATGCTGCTAACAGCTCCCTTCCTTTAACTGCCACGCTGAATAAATAAACACTCGGTTATTGTCTCTTTACCCAGGAGCCAACGTCTATGGCACCATAAAACTGCTTGTTATATCATTAAAGTGATTGTTGGTTATGTGTGGGTGTGCGTATGTGTGCACGTGCAAATTTTCTCTGCTGCACTATCTGGGCTTCTGAAGATGCTGCCTGGCCTTGTTTTTATGGTGGCTCTTGCATACCACAGCTCCATGTAAAATGGACACTTCATGCGTTGAAAGGGAATTTGCTAATTATTAATTGTCTTCCTTTAAAACAGAGCATTAGGGAAGACTTGGGAATTGTATTTATCTATTTTCTTCAAAATATCTCTCTACGGCTCTTGTCCTGCACTTTCAACTCCAAGCCCTTCAGTGCTCTCTCACTGTTTTCTAAACAAGAAAATGACTGTGGCAGGCTGAAGAGCAAAGTATTTAAAAAGCATACCATAGTCCAAAAGCACTCTCAAAAGCTACATTAACAAATCCAGGGAGAACCTTGTGTTTTTTAACTGTTAGTGCCTTATGAATATTATGAATAAATATACACCATTACATCTGGCATTAGTAGCTAAAAATAAACAGTGCTTTTGTACCAAAACAGTATTGGACGTCACCATATTTTTCTGAGAATATAATTCTGATTCAGACTTTGAAGAGAATTGTTTGAACTTGACTCCAGGAAAACAACCTAAAAATTCTCACATGATAATAAACATTTTTACACATAATCTTTATTTGGCAAGCTTTAGGGGCTGGGTTGTGCTAACTATTTAAACTGATTTAATCCTCACACTGACATTTAGGGCAGATAGTATTAATAAATCCATCTTCCAGATGAGCAAGGAGGAGGCAGAGAAAAGTTAAACATTTTGCTCCAACAGTGAAGGGGAGGCTAGCCAGGAATCTCACCCAGGCACTCTGGGGTCATGGGCTTTGTTCTGAATGGCTGAGAACAGGCTAGGGTTTTAAAGAAACTGCTAAGAGGAGAACAAAATGGCATCACCGAGGTAGCTTCCAAATTGTGTGAAAACACAAACACTCGGCATCTTTTTCACGGTATGCCCCCAGTTGGGAACAAATCAGACTTCTTCCAGTGGACAAATTCAAAGTGAATTCCCTGTGATGGCTGGGGGTGGGGGGGTGGGGGGTGGGGAGTGGGGGGGGGGTAGTACAGGGATGTGAAACAGCAGGGTCAAGGCCCAGACCCTCTCCAGCAGGGTCAAGCCCCAAACCCTCTGCATAAACACACCCATTTTTAATGCCTCTCTTCTTGAGAAAACAGGGAGCTGTGACTTTACGCTTGACTCCAAGGAGACTGCCTGGGGTTTTGTTTACACAAGATTCAAAGCAAAAATGAGAATTGCTCCCTGGGACAACTTTAGCTCAGAATATGTGTTCTTTACACATTTTTAATTGGGCCACAAATATATTAGCAGTGCGGTTATTTTGTAGTTTCAAACGAATCTATTTTGTAACTGATTCATATTTATATTTGGGATGCATTTATTTGTGGGCATGAAGCAGTTCATTTTGCTAAGCCATCTGACCCAGGTGAGGTTGGCATTATTTCCATGACTGCTCCCAATGAATGCAAATTGAAGGTTAAAGGATAAATAAGCCCCTTTAACTTGGTTTACTAATATGTTATTTATAAATGGCTCTTTACTTGGCTTTTTTTTTCTTTTTGGGGCAACAACTTTGTCCAAATGAAAAAGCACAGGACAAATTAACAAATACATGATGTGTATTTTATTGTAAAGTTTCAAATGGGTTAGATTTAAATTTAATTTTAAGACAATTAATATGCCCAAAATTAATCCTATTTATCTTACTATCCCTCTTCAAATCTTAGCAGTCTGGGAAAGACTGTACTACATTAATAACTTATATTCTACTTTTTGGAAACAGCTTACTCAGTCCTTTTGATTTTTATTTTGACAGTTACATAGTATCCCATTTTATCATTAATCCAAACTCACACTAATTGAAGGCCAGTGAAGTCTTTCCTTCTGCTATTTCAAGTAGGGCTACAATGCATACCTTTGCATAACTGTAATTCTCACATATGTAAGTTAATTTATGACAAATTTTAAGACATGAAATTAGCCATTCAATGGGAATGGCCATTTTACATTTTGATTGATGTTTCCAAATTAGACTATAGAGAGGTTGCTTCAGTTTAAATTCCACGTCTGAAAGTCCTGTTTCTCCAGACTTTGCAACATGGTATGTTATTGACCATTATCTCCATAGGAAACACATGGAATCCTAGTTTGAATTCACTTATCTCTTGAGGGTGAGGGAAGCTGAGGATCTTTTGATAAGTTTTAAAGTTATTTGTATTTCTTACTCTATAAATTCTCCTCCCTCTCCTTCCTCCTTCCTTCTTCTTTGTGCTTTCTTCCTATTGGGTTGATAGTTATTTTCTTATTGATATGGTGATACTTTGTATCTTCTAAAGAACTAAATCCTTTCTCTTGGCTTTGCTTTTGGAAACTTTGTTAATGTGCCCCCCCCCCCCCCAATTTGGTTTTTCTTTCTTTTCTTATTGGGGTAAAACATTTAGCATGAGCTCTACAATTTTTAACAAAACTTTTAAAGATTTATTTATTTATTTAAATTGAAAGGCAGAGAGAGAGAAAAAGAGAGGGAAGGAAAGGGAGAAGGAGAGAGGGAGAGGAGAAGGAGGAGGAAAAGGAGGAAGAGGAGCTAGATTTCCCATCTGCTTGGATTATACTCTAAATGGAATCAACAAATGGGGCTGGGTCAGGCTAAAACCTGGAGCCAGGAACTCAATTCAGGTCTCCCATATGGGCAGCAGGGACCCAACCACACCAGCCATCGCCTGCTGCCTTCCAAGGTGCGCATTAGCAGGAAGCTGGAATAGGCAGCAGAGCCAGGACTTGAACCCTAGGCACTCTGATGTGGATGTAGGTGTCTTAAGCAGTATTTTAACTGCTTCACCAATTGAGCACCCCTTAATCCATTTTTAAGTGCACTATATTGTATTGTTAACAGTAAGTGCAGGGCTTTACCTGTCCCTGCATCTACCTTTTTGTCATATAACTTCACATTTCTGCTCACCCAAGAGGTGGATTCTATTTTCCTGTATCCTTTGGTTCACAGGAGTGAACCAAATCACAGGAGTGCTTTGGCCAATGGAATACTACCAGCTAGGCTGAATATAGAAGTTTGGAAACATTCTTGTTGTGTTGAAGTATTTTCCTTGGCTCCTCTGAGACTGCCATGGGAACATGCCTAGCTAGACTGCAGGGTGACTGACACACAGTACAATTGACTAATATCAATTGTCTCCACCAAGGCCAACCTAGATCAGCCTAGACCAGCCCAGTCCCACACTTATGAGGGAGCCCTATTAAGAGGGACAGAGCCCACTGGCTGCCCACATAGCTGGCCACAGAAAAATGAGTGAGCCCAGCTAAGACTGCAACAAGCATCCAGTTAACCCCTAGATTCATGAACTTATTAAACCTTTGAGTTTTGAGGTAATCTGTTAC